CTTATTACAATAATCTTTAGATAAAATGTTCTGATTGCATCCTATAAACATAACTTGAAGTACCAAACAAACCTGATGATATCACAGCTGACCTATAGACAATCAGATTAAAATTTAGTGACTCACCAATGTCAATACCACAATGCTAAATGATAGGGTAATAACATAGTTGTGCAAACTATTACATTTGACCTGAAGAAAGTTTAGCCACGTGAAATAGTAAACACTTCTGTTCTACCATGTGTCCAATTAGGAACAACAACAACAACAACAATAATGATAATAATAATAATAATGGTAATAATAATAATAATTATAATAATAATGACAATAAAAACTATAATAATAATAATAATAATAATGATAATAATAATAATAATAATAAATATAAAATAATAATAATAATAATAATAATGATAATAATAATAATAAACAGTTTTTTTAACCAAAAACGTAAATCACTGCCAATGAAACTATTAAGAGAAACCTGCTTTTGTTTAGAGCATTATCATACATGTATCCTTTTTTATGAATCTAGATTGTTGTTTTAATTTTTATCTTAAATAAAATTACATAATAATTAAGATATATTACGAACTATCTCGAGTGTCATTGATGAATTGGGTATGAGTAGAGTGTGTGAAACGTGTAACTGGCGTAAAGCCAGGGTAAAAGTAAACGTATGACTGCGAATGTGAGCGTATAACGTCAGCGTAGCATATATAAGCGTATGAATAGCATATATGAGTGAAGGAGTAATGTATGTTTAATGTATGAGTATCGAAAAGTTGGCGTATTAATAGCGTCCCATAGCGTGCGTTGTTACTATTCATTTTCTAGCTGATAGTCGAAGTGTGAACATACTTCCAAAAAATAATGTCCATGGGAAAGGAAAGAAGAACGAGTCAATTGATTACAAGTAGCTGCACCGTCTGATATATCTGTTGATGGCAGCATTAACTCACTTAATCAATCTTCTATTTTTTACTGATACGCTAACAATTTGTTAGCTTTTGTGACCACCTATCTGCAGCCGTATGAGTAGCGTTCATGACCTATGACTAGCATGTATAGCACATGTCTTGCGTATTATGTGCGTATATATATCGTACGATTCATGAGTACACTGAAACATTTTGAACATGCTAAAAATTTGATTTCTTAGTATGTTTATATTAACGGCGTAACTGCGTACCTTAAACGTATACGGCGTATCCCTCTCTCACGTCTGCGTATTTGATCGTATGAGTAATTTTTCTCATACGCTCGCATTTGTTAGTTCCATACGCTATAAAAAAGAGCATTAAATGAATTCACAGTAGTGCAGTTATGGAAGAATTAAGGTTAACATATTCTGTTTTGATATTTAATTTAGATCAAGGTGATCGTGTGTGAATCTATAAGCATTTTATTTTACGTTGCATTTTTTATGACTTTGCATTGGTATATTAATCTACTTTGGTTGCTCGTCATCTGTCCTCCTGTGTATTATTTCAGTCGCCTGTGCAGAATCTCCTACCTTTGTAATCCAGCCGGATAGCATCCTTGCATTAAAAATATGTTATGGCTAGTTTTGCTAACAATTTATGGCAAAACTTTATTCAATCATTTATTTGTTTTCTTTGAAATACTTATCAGTTACTATTTATGTCTTCTTTTGTATGATTGTAGTGATTAACATGCCCATTCTCTGCCTTGTGCTCTGTCCTTTTTTTGTTTGGGGTCCTCCTGGGCTCCTTGCCACTGGCTTTTTTTTGCTGGATCGTGTGCCGCCTTTCCTTGTTGATCTTGTTTATCATATATCATATTGGTAAAGCCCCAATAAACAACCCCTGGATACATTTCAAAAACACATGCATGATCTGTTATTTGTTTGTTATTATAATTGTCCAGTAGTACAGTGCTATTACCTCACAATGGCCGCCAGCAAGTTCTTGACCTCAATTGTAAAATACAATAAGAAATAAATTCTAAACCACCACAAAGTCATTCGTGGGTAATATTTCAGGTCTGATAAATTGTAAAATAATGTACAATAACATTAACAATTCTTCAATCCTTCATCAGTTTTTTATTTAAAAGGTGCTCACTACATTCTTATATTTGATGTCAAAAGTTATACTGTTAGATATTAATTAAAGCAGCACGCCTCCAGATTCATGCTAATTTTCATGAAAATTTGAAAACGTATTTAACAGTATAATATTGTAAAGTTACCAAAAGAATGCAATGTGCAAATTATCAATGGCGCTTACAACCTATGTTAATTACTATAATGAGGTCAAAATATGAAAAAATAGCCCTAACTGCGTTAGTAACGCAGTAGAAAAACAATTATAAATACTGAAAAATTCAGTCATTAATCGCACAAAACTTGTAAATTTTTACTAGAATTTTGAACCTTTTTACCTTTCCTACAATTTTAGAACAGTTTCCTCAGGTTTGATTTTTATCGAAAAAGTTTTGCTCATCTGGAGGCGTGCAGCTTTAACGTATTCTGCTGTGTATTTAAGTTTGAAATGAATGTTGAGGATATTTGCCAATTTCACTCGACGATAGAAATGTCACATTTAATTGCAGATCAGATTTAAAAACATACTATCAAATAGAGAAAATAAGAATTCCCAAAGATCAACATTAATCAACATATGTTTCATGATGGATGGTTCCACAATACCGGTATATCTTTTGTGTTGCTGTTTAAGTCTAATAAGATATATTGCTGTTAAAAAAACCCAAAAAACTTATCCATTGATGTCTGTATGTAACCTCAAACATTCTTGCACAGTTCCATTCTATATTGTTCCAACCGTTATTTGCTCGATTAATGTAAAGACAGTCTTTAACCTTGGGACCATGTGCACCTTTTTCATGAAAGGCACATGTTTAAAAATCTGGAAACAAAGTGATCCCTCGGAAGCATTATTCATAACAAAAGTACATAAGAATTGCAGACTCAGTTTGATTGAGTCTGTACATGAGGGACAATAAATAATGAATGTATGTCACATTAAAATGAAATGATTACTGCCACATGTACTCCTCAACAAACATTACTAAATTAAATAAATTCTCAAAATTTGCGTTTAAAGCTGCATGCCTTCAGATGAACAAAACAATTACAAAGTGACACTAAGTTGCTTTCAAAAATATAAAATCTAAAACATCTGCTGATAATTGCGACATTAAAATACATGCGTCTTGTGATTTTAGGATATTTCGAACTTAAAACTTTGATGATTCTATTGATTTTAATTTTTCTTTCAAAGCTACAGCAATAATGTGTTTTAGTGAGCGAAACTCGACGAGGATTACATATACACGGTCAGACCTGCATAATATCGGGCAATTAACAAGTTCACAAAAAGGACTTAATCCTATTATTATCAACACTTTGAAAGGACTTATCTTAATGCAATACAGAGGGAGTAGATATGGGATTAGACGAGCCTGGGATTCTAACAATGGAGTGAATAGTTATAATTTACAGTTACTTCCCCAAGAAATAACAAAAGTTAATCAGGAAAAGATGTATAGAAAAATAAAAACACTCGGTATTTGCAATGTGAAAAACTTAATCCGGGTAAATCTTGAACACAGTACAACAGTAAAAGGCCAAACATACATAAAATATGTTTAATGAACACACACTCAGTGAAAAATAAAACCCTATCCATATGTGACTTTATTCTCTCAAATGAGTTTGATATATGTGCCATAACTGAAACATGGCTAGGTAGTTCCGTTAATAAGATGTGTATCAGTGAACTTGTACCATGAAACATTTCCCGCGTGTTGGTAGGTGAGGTGGGGGTGAAGCTGTCATCCATAAAGCTTCTAAACAAGTCACCACTGAGTTGTCAAGTCAAAGCAAGGATTTCTCAGTGTGTAAGTTCATGGACTGTAGTGTAGTCATTGGGTGGTACTATATGAGGCTAGCGGTAATATACAGACCACCTCCTTCCAAACAGAACGGCTTGAATACAAACACTTTCCTTGATCATGAGTGGCTCCCTTTCTTAACTAAGTACGCTGCAGTTGACAATTCTGCAATCATAGTAGGCGGTCTTTTGTTTTGTTTGTTTGATTGGGTTTTACGTCACACCGACACTAAATAGGAAATATCGCGACGTTCCAGCTTTACTGGTGGAGAAAGACCTCAGATGCCCTTCCGTGCATTTTTTCAGACACAAACGGGCACCTGAGTAGAACCACCGACGTTCCGTAAGCTAGGATAGCTTCCTCACATAAAAGAATCCGAAGTCCCTGTCGGGATTCGAACCCACAGCGGTGAGGGGCAAGTGGTTTGAAGTCAACGACCTTAACCACTCGACCACGGAAGCCCCTAGTAGGCGATCTGAACCTTCATCTAGACATACCAGACAACAATGATACGAGAAAATTTACAAGTAACCTTGATGCATGTGGTATGCATCAGCATGTACAAGAACCAACCCATGTGCAGGTCATACATTGAACGTAGTGATATCAAGGGAAACAGACAACATTGTATCAAACATAAAGGTCGTAGATCCTGGACTCTCTGATTCTAGTGGAAATATCTTACGTGACCATTTTGCTGTTACATTTGCCGTTAAAGCCTCCAAACCTGCACCGGCACGATTATTGACATTGATTATTTTCGAGATGACATACGGAAAAAGGAGTTCTTTAACAAAGAGTGTATCCCTTCTAGCATAGATGGTTTTATGATGGAGTATTCAGACAGTTTAACCTCTATTTTGGATAAACCTGCTCCGATGATTAACAAGACTATTACATTGAAACCTTTTTTTTTTTTTTTTTTTTTTTTTTTTTTTTTTTATAACTTTTTTTTTTTTTATTTCACAAATATTATACATAATTATACATATATACAATGACATAATTTAACAAATTCAATTTGAGATATTCATATGTATTAGAGTTACAACGTACATAAACATACTATCTAGAGGTTAGTATATATCTTTTAAAATTTGTAGTATTTTGTCAAAAAATTAACTTTTGTCTTCTTGTATTTAAAGTATTGATAAATTATTTCGAATTCTGTTTTAAACAGTTTTAAAATGTTAAATTTATTTGACCAATTATTACTACAAAAGTAAGCTTTATAAATACTAAAACCTACAATGGTGAGTATAACATTTATGTAAAAGTATTCTTCTTGAGATATTTTATAACCGAAAATAAGGATGTCTAGTCTACGTATATTTCTTTGAATTCCGCACTCTTGAAATATATATAAAATTTTCTCCCAAAATACATTTACTGCCATACAATCGATAAAAAGATGTTGATAATCTTCTATTTTATTACATTTATTACAGAGTGGAGATGAGACCATTTTCCATTTATAGCGCGTTTCTTTGCTTGTAAAGATCATGTTTATTACTCTAAATTTGAATTGTTTATACCGATTATCAGGAAGTCTTGTAATGAATTTATATATATCATTCCAGTTTAGTTTTGTCTCATATTTATTTGACCAATACGAATGTGTAGCGGGTTTAATGAATACTTTGTTTACTAATATTTGATATATTGTTTTTGAATCCATCAATTCAAAAGGTTTGTTATTTATCTTAAGACGTTTTTCTGTTTTTATTTTTGTTTGCGAAGAGTGAAACGTTTTCATAGTTTGTTTCCAGGCTAGAGGCAAAGCTTTAAAGAGCAAGTTTAATTCAACGACGCAGTTGCGTTTATCTACTAGCTTATTTAAGATAACATTTTGATCTACTTCACCCTGATCATTAAGTAAATCATTTAAAAAATATATATTCGATTTAATCCATGTTTTAAAAAACAAACATTGGTTTTTAATTTTAATAAATCTATTGCCCCAGATTATTTGTTTTCTTATTTGTTCAAATGTCAAATTTTGATTTTCCTTATGTAAATCGCGAGTTTTTATCCATATTTTAATAAGTTCTTGATAAAATTCAGTCACATTACTACAATTGAGACTTTTAATAGTGTCTGTATTACAATAAAATATTAAAAAATTGTCACCAAAATCTTTCAGTAGGCGTTTCGGAATTAATTTCCAGTTTGCTTCTGATTCATCAGTTAAAGCTTTTACCCATTTAAGTTTTAAAGAAGTTATATATGAGTCTAAGTCTAGCATATCTATTCCTCCTTGTAATTTATTGCCTATTAAAGTTGCACGTTTTACTTTTTCTTGTTTATTGTCCCATAAAAATTTGAATATCATTGTATTGATTTCTTTCACGATACTTTCTGGCACAACTAAAGAATGAAACAAATAAGTAAATTTTGGTATCAATAACGATTTTATAATTTGAACTTTTCCATACATCGTTAACTTACGTTTTAACCAGTTTTTTATTAGACTTTGACATTCAGTTAGTTTTGACTGCCAATTGAGTTTAGAACACTCTTCGTATTGTATGCCAAAATAGACTCCTAGTGCTTTAATTGGTTTATTCGGCCATGTTATATTTCCTACTTTATCAGTTCGTGATTTACTTCTTCCTATCCACATTGCTTCAGTTTTTTTTGCTATTGAGTTGTAACCCCGAGTATTTGCCAAAGCGCTCTACCAGATTTATTGCATTCAGAATGTCTTGTTCAGATTTCAGAAAAAGAGTAGTGTCATCAGCAAGCTGTGCTATTTTAATTTGTTTATTATTATTTTCGATTTTTATCCCTTCTATACTGTTTGAGTTTCTTATTTCAATGGCCATAATTTCAGCAGCGAATATAAATAAAAAAAGCAGATAATGGACATCCCTGTTTAATACCTCGATTTAAGTTAAATATCTCCGATTTATGTCCATTGTTAAAAATACATGATTTAATATCATTATAAAATGTTTCGACCCAGTTTATAAAGTTCGATTTAAAACTAAATTGTTTAAGTACATAAATTAAAAAATTCCATTCTAAAGTATCAAATGCCTTTAAGTTATGAAAATCTAAAAACCATTATCGCACATGTTTTTGAAGTTCTTCTGAATAATCTATTATGTCTTGTATTAAACGTATTTTATATCCGATAAATATGTTATTAATATAACCTTGTTGGTCTAAGCTTACTATCTTATGAATTACAGTTTGCAATCTATTGGCAAGAGCACGAGTTGCAATTTTTACATCAACACATAATAATGAGATTGGTCGATAGTTTTCTAATAATAATGGGTCCCCTTTTTATAAACTAAAGATAGACAACTAATTTTTTGTGAATGAGATAATAGTTTTTTATCAAAACATTCATTTAGACACTCTGTGAGATGTGAGCCTACACAATAGAAAAATTCTTGATAGAATTCTGCAGGAATGCCATCAATTCCTGGTGATTTATTTGGCTTAAGTCCATTAACAGCAGTTTTTATTTCATTCAAATTTAAATAGCCTTCGCACTTACTCGCTTCATCATCGGATAATTTGTTTTCATACTGAATAGTGTTAAGGTATGTTTTTATATGATCTGTTGGAATTTTACTAGAAGTGTAAAGTGTTCTGTAATAATTTACTGTTTCTTTTAAAATTTTCGTTTCATCTGAAAGTACATTTCCATTTATTTTAAGTGAGTTAATCGTTTTCCGCGTTTGTCTCGACTTTTCCAGATTCAAAAAAAATTTCGTGTTTTTTTCTCCATTTTCAATAAAATTTATTCGAGATCTTATTTGTGCGCCTTTCGCCTTTGTTTCATATAGTTCTTGGATTTCTTTTTCTAATTTTTCAATTTGCTCGGATTCTAATATACTATTGTTTTGTAATATTTTAAGTTTAGTTTCAAGTTCTATAATATATTCTTTTCTTCTTTTGCTCGCCGTTTTGAATATGTAATCGAAGCATTTTTAATTTCTAATTTACATAATTCCCAAAAGTCTGTTTTTGATACTGTGTTTCTGTAAGCAAGCTCGCATTGTTTTATTGTATCTTCTATCAATAATTTATAATCACTCTCTTTAAGGTAGGAAATGTTCATCTTCCAGTAACCATTTCCGCGTTTTGATGGTTGTTGTAATTTTAAAAATATTGCTTGATGATCTGTGTATTTAATACAAGCGGGTCTTATATCGGATTTTACTACTAACGGAACTGCATTTTCTTCAACTAACCAGAAGTCTATTCTACTTTTTTCTGTACCATTTTTCCTTCGCCAGGTAAACTGTGTTTTGTTTTCATTAAAAAGTTTCCAAACATCTATCAGATTATTAGATTTAATAAAATTTGCAAAACCTTTCCCGGGATTAATTTTTATATTGTTGTTTACATTAAATCTATCGGATGATTGTAATATGTCGTTCATGTCTCCGCCGACAATTATATATCCCTGAGCATTTTCATTTAATATTTTCGACAAATCGTGGAAAAAAATGTTTCTTTTTGATAATTCATTATGGGCATAAATGTTAGGAATAGTGTAAACATTGTTGTCAAGGGTTATATTTAGAAGTAAATAGCGCCCATACGTATCTTTAAGAGTGTCAATAATATCAAAATGTATAGATTTATTAATAAAGATAGAGCATCCTCTACTGTTACTTGAGCCAAATGAGTGAAATATTTGCCATTCATTAAATTCTTTTGCAATTAAGTTTTCAATATCTACCGTTATATGCGTTTCTGATAATAGAAGAATCTGGCATTTTTGTGACAGAATATATTGTTTTAATCTTGCCCGTTTTTCAAACTGTCTAATTCCTTGACAATTAAGTGATAAGAATTGAATATAATTACTCATATGGAATTAGTTCTTACAGAGAATATTATTGCTTGAACAAAAATTGCAAGTGCATTTAATAACTGTAAAAAAGAACGTATCTGGAATGTAAAAAATATCCCTTTAACTACGAAAACGAAAAGTAAAGAAGTATAAGAATTACATTTGACTAACGCAGATATTCTCGATACACCTTGATAAGCGCAACTTTGTACAAAGTAGGTTTTAAAGTGTAGAGATATTATGCCCTCAACAAAATTCTTTAATACAGCTCTATAATAATAGCATATCATTCGGACCAAAATCTGGTATACTAATCGAGATCCTAATGTATTAATGATACAAGTATAAATGTATTTCGTTTGATCTTTACATGGAAATGAGTTTAGATTGTAATGATATTTAACGATAACAAAAATAAGACTATTCAACAGAAAGTTATGGAAAAAAAAACATGTGATCGACACGTTTAATTTCAACATAAATTTACTAAAAATACCATTGAATTGCAGAGAGAGTAAAATGTAATCTTTCAACTCCGACTTATTTTGTATAAATTTACAAAACAAATTTTTGACTGACATAATCAGTATTAACTTTAACTTGTAAAGATAACACCTAATTAACATATATAATATCAACACAAATATATATAAATCATATCTGACTAACATATTTAATATCGACAACAGTTCATGAAAACAGCGCCTGACTGACGTTTTATAAAAATAGACCCTGACTGGCCTATGCAATTTCGACACCATTTTATGAAAAGAAAACCTGACTAACATGTGTATCAGTTTATGAAAATTGCTTCTGATTAACATATATGATCTTAGCTCAATTATATGAAAATAACCTCTGATTAACATATGTAATACCGACGCCAGTTTATGAAAATAACCCCAGATTAAAAAATATGATCTCAACACCAGTTTATGAAAATAACCTCTGATTACCCTATGTGATCTCAACGACAGTTTATGGAGATAACACTTGACTGTCCTATTTAATCTCAATGCCAGTTTATGGAAATAACTCAACGTCAGTTTATGGAAATTACCCCCGTCTAACGTATGAAATATCAACAATAGTTTATTACATTTACAACCACAGTTATACAGATTACATCTGTTATACATGTGTATCCCAAATAAACGTGTGTACAATATAAGATTGACTAATGTATATAGTACACATTTATAAATCATACATTTTACTGATATATGTAATCTCAATACTATTTTATAAACAATACTCTCGTAAAAATATCTATGAAGATATAACAATGTTATGTCGTAAACAAGATTGAGAATTTTATAACTAAATAAATGTAAACGAAAATTCTCTATGATCATAACAAAATTTAAGAAATTTAAGAGTATATTTTTAATTAACATTAAAGAATGGTTATCAAAAAGCGAGAATCGCATATATTTGTTCAGTATTTCAAACATAGCTGCTAAGTCACCATAGTACATTAGTTCTTTTTCCATGACCAGGCTAAGTTTACATTGTAAAGAAATCGTTTTTATGCGCATGAGTGTTATCATGAATTTCACGATTGATTGTGAGAAAATAAAAATACTGATGACTGTTAAAAACCATAAGTTTTCTTCAAGAATATGATATAATTGTATTTTTTTAACATATTCATAATTTCTAATTCTAAAAATATTTGCAGTAAATCTATTCATTAACTTAATTTTCACTAATATATAGTCTTTACGTATTTTCAAACTCATAGTTCTTAATACTCTATAATTATTATTCAGTTTACTACTAATCATTTTATATTTTTCAGCATAAACTATCTTTAATACAAAACTCTTGAGAGAACAGATCATATATAATAGTAATATGTAAAATATACACTGGAATTCCTTTATGGGGATCAGCGTTTCATATAAACCAGTTTGTCTGTGTAAATCCGATAATCTACATCGTATGTCCGTATTTGTGTCCATTGTTTTCGTTACTTTATAGTGTGCGCACTTAACAGTTAACTTGTACACGTTTTCTTTGTACTGTTAGGATCGTCTAGCGGTGATCTTGGTGACCGCGTAACGGAATTCGTCCTACTTTTAATTCTGCCTGGCGTCTCACTTGTTGGATTTTGTCGGAAGTATTTACTGATCTCTGTTCGAGATGTTGCGGGCAAAGTTTCATTATTTGATTTTGATTTTGCCTTTTTTCTCCTGCGTTTTGATTGTTCATTTGTCTGGGGTAGTGGTGTAGTAGACTTTTACATTGAAACCTGCTTGTCCGTGGTATACAGAGCAACTCCATGAAGCCAAGCATGAAAAACGCAAAATGGAACAAAAATGGCGTGAAACTAAACTTACATTAGATCATCAGATCTACACAACAAGTTTTTAAAATAAGCTCGTGTAGAATAGTATACAAGTAAAATAGAGTATTGCGGCAATGATTATGAAAGTCTATCTTAGATTACCAAAGGTCTACTTGGGGATACAAATGAAGTGACTTTACCATTTGATTCATCTTCAGAGCGCCGTGCCCAGAAATTCAGTGACTTCTTTATTGGAATGATTGAAACAATAAGGAATAACATACGTTCTCAAACACAATCGGTACCTGATAATGTAGATATGAAATCTGAATATATGGGTGTCAAATATACTGACTTTGCTCCAACCACAGAACAAGAAGTGAAAGCATTGATGAAAAAGTCAGCAACCAAATCCTGTGTGTTAGATCCCATTCCAACATGGCTGTTAAAAGAATGCATAGATGAACTAACAACAGTGATAACCAGTTTCATAAACGTGTCCTTGGATGCCGCTTTTGTACCAAAAAATTTCAAACACTCACGAATAAGACCACTTCTAAAGAAACCAAATCTAGACCCTAACGAACTGAAAAACTAAAGGCTTGTGTCTAACTTGCCATTCCTGTCTAAAATCTTGGAAGAGATCGTTGACGTACGAATTGAGAGCCATCTGCAAACAAACAATATACTCGAGGAAACCATTTTGACATTTAA